TACTGGGCCAGCAGCTGCCACAGCCAGAAGGGCAGGAAGCAGAGCCAGAAGAGCAGCACGATGCTGAGGATGAGGTAGAGCACGCGGGCCCTGGGCAGCCGACGCCCCGGCCCCAGGCATGCCTGCCCCGCGCACCAGTAGGCCCGAGCCAGGCGGGCGTACAGCAGCCCGATGACCACGCCCGGGCCCACCATGCTGGTGGCGAACAGCAGTGTCAGGTAGGTGCGGTGGGCGCGTGGGCCCCAGGAGGGCAGGCAGAGCCTCTTGGGGCCCCTGGGCACCTGCTGGATGGCCAGCATCATGGGCAGCGTCAGCAGCAGGGCCAGCAGCCAGGTGCCCAGCACCAGGACCTTGCGGTAGCCCCCAGAGCGCCCCACCGTGTCCAGCGGCCTCAGCACGGCTGCGCAGCGCTCACTGCTCATGGCTGTCAGCGTGAAGATGCTGGCGTGCATGGTCAGGAAGTCCAGGCTGAAGAGGACTCGGCAGCCTACGTCCCCGAAGCGCCAGTCCTTGACAACATAGGTGCTCACCACGAAGGGGATGCTGACCAGGTATAGCAGGTCAGCCAGCGCCAGGTTGACCACGTAGGCGTATAGGGGACCCGAGGCACGCAGGCAGCGGCACATGACCACCAGCGTGTAGACGTTGCCAGCCATGCCCACCAGGCCCATGGCCGAGAGCACTGCCCCCAGGGTGCCTGTGGCCACCAGGTCCTCCAGGGAGCTGCTGGGTGCTGTGGGGTTTGCCCACGAGCTGTTGGGAGGCACGCTGGGGCTGCTGGGTAGCTCAAGAGCAGTGCTGCCTGTCGGGGCCAGGCCTGGGAACCTGCCAGCTGCCTCAGGGCTCAGTGCCATCTTGCCCGGTTCTCGCTCAGCGCCAGGCTGTCTCTGGGGGGAGGGCAGGGGTGTCCGTGGGTGATGAGCTGGTCCTGCAGGAGAAAATGCCCATTGTGGGTGTGGGCCAGCAGCCCCTCCACTTCCCACACAGCCTGTGACGGCACGGTGCCCTGGGGTCCTGCTTGCTGGTTGGAAGGGGCCCCAACTTCGCTCCTTGAGCCTTGTGATAGCACCCTGTTTGGTGCAGCAGACGAACTGAAAGGTCCGTAGTTCCAGGACCCCTCGCTGCTCCAAGGGAGAAAGCCGTGCTGTCTGCTCCTGTCAAGACTTACGGCCTGAGAAACCCTCAAGGGCCGACCCAGCCGAGTCATCTGTGAGCCAAAAACCCACTCAATGGCCATGAGTTTGGAGTTTGGTTTGGGGGCACAGGAGGACCTGCTGTCCCTGTGTGTGCCCAGCAAGACCCCCTTCGGGGCGGGGTGCAGTGGAAGTCCTTCTCTGGAAGCAAGGTACAGCAGGGCGGTCCTGCATGTCCCCCTCCATCCCTGTCCCAGGTGCAGGAGTCTGTGGTGGACAGAGCCAGGATCCTGGGCATGTCTCCAAAGCCTCACCTTCCCGTCCTTAGGACAGACCAAGGCCCTCCTCCCAAGGTATGTTTTGTTTGTCACCCCCTGCCCCCACTGTCATCGAGTCAAATCCCACTCACAGCCAACCGAGTCAGGGGTCCCAGGCTGTAAATCTTTATGGGAGCAGACAGCCTCTGCATTTCCCCAACTTACCAACATACTTGCCCTGGTGGCATGGGGGGTTAAGCGCCTGGCTGCAAACTGTGAAGTTGGTGGTTCAAACCCACCAGCTGCTCCGTGGGAGAAGGATGAAGCTTCCTGCTCCATGAAGACTGGCAGTCTGAAACCGCAGGGCACATCTCTGTGCTGTCCCATAGGTCACCATGCATCCCCATCCACCCATGGGCAGGAGGTTTACACACACTCTATATATAATCTTCAAGGTAGCCCTGGGGTATAGTGGTTAGCATTGGGCTGTGGTCCACAAGGTCGGTAGTTCTAAACCACCAGCATCTCCTTGAGTGGAAGGCAGGGCTTTCCATCCCAGTAAAGCATTTGTCTCAGACTCACAGGGCAGGATTCCCTTTCCTACAAGGCTGCTATTTGTCAGTATGGACTCAAGGCAGTGAGTTATACACGACGGGGTACCCCCCA